TGATGGAGGGCAGGGGATCTCCCTCACCCGGACCTCCCTGTTCTGTAGCGGACATGGGTGTCCCATGGGACTGATGAAAGACTGACACAAAGTACCCATTTAATAGGTTGTTTTTTTCCTGGGCGTCAGTTTTCAGTTGCTCCATCTGGTTCAGCAGGGGTCCAATGTTGCCCTTGCTTTTCCTCCGGCTCCCCACATATCTGAAAAAGGACTTTTTATTGTCCGTGATGCTTGAAGCTAGTTGGAGTTCAGTTGCAGCCTTGACTTTCCTGGTTTGCTCCCTGCAGGACTGGACCAGTACAGAATAATCCTCCTTGAAGGTGAATCCCATCCTCCATCCTTTGTAGACCTTTCTTTTTAGCCTCCAGAGGTCTGCTAGTAATGTGAAAGCAACATTACTTTTGTCCATAGCCTTGTGGAAGTAATAAGGCACTGGAACAGGTTACCAATAGAGGTTGTGGAATCTCCATCCTTGGAGGTTTTTAAGACCTAGCTAGACAAAGCCTTGGCTGGGATGATCTAGTTGGGGATGGTCCTGCTTTGAGTAGGGGGTTGGACTAGATGACCTCCTGAGGTCCCTTCCAGCCCTAATTTTCTATGATTCTATTTAGTATTTTTAAAGATGGGAAAAGGGGATTTGAAGAGATGGGGGGTGCCAAGCAATCCAAAGCAAGACAGTGTCAGGAGGTTTTGGGGTTTGGGAGAAGGGGAAAAAATCCAAAGAGAAAGTGTATGAAAAATGGGAAATTGCATTTCTGGTGGGGCTGTGGCTACATAAAGAATGGAAAGACACTTCCACCCTCTTTCCTTCCCAGTTATTTCTGTCTGGATCAGAATACTTAAAATGACAGTAGAGGCCATCAGTTCCTAGAAGAAAGGTCCCTAAGGCATGTGTGGATGTACACCTGCTTCTGCTGAAGGGGGCAGTTGTATTGGCACCAACTGTGTGAATGCAGATCAGACCAGAGTGACTTAGAGAGTGAGTGGGAGGGATTTATGGAAGAGAAGTGCCACCACAGCCAGTCAGTGGGAGTGCATGGACTATAAATCAGTACAGAGTTTAACTCAAGCTTTTTAGATTTAACTTGTGTTTTAATGCCAATCAAGAATGTACAATGTTTCTGAAGACTTAACCAGGGCAGGCAGTGAATATGTTTTTTGAATTGTTTTCAAGGAAATCATTAAAAATAGTTCAATGATTTTTTAACAATACAAGAAACAATATGAGATTTTGTTTTGAACTCTCTCTTTCATATGTATGGGCGCACGTGCATGCGTGCACACACAGTATGAGTCGAAAACAAAGTCTGGAATTGTGTATGAGTATATAAATAAATAAAGAGACGATGTGCACGCGCACACACACACACACACACACACGCGCGATGATTTGGTTGCCACTGCTTCATTGTAATTCTGTTATTATCTTATCCAGTCTGTCTTCAAAAATTATGACCATGATCAGGATGGATACATTTCTCAAGAAGAGTTTGAAAAGATTGCAGCAAGCTTTCCATTCTCATTTTGCGTAATGGACAAAGACAGGTGTGTGCCTGCGAGCTGCTCTTTTGCATTTGCTTCTACATTTAAATTTTGTAACAGCTTTTTATTATGACCACTACATATTAAAATTGTCCTGCCCTCTCTAAGACTGGAAGCAGAAACATAACTCACTGAAGCACTGTTTGGGGTAGTAGTAAAGGGCATACCTACCTATACCAATATTAACTAGTTCTCTGCTGTATGAGAGACTGATATGCTGCAGACAGATTTTTGTATAATGTCTTAAAGAAATATTTTATTGCGCAACATTAAGTACTAATATATTAATTTTATTGAGCATTTTTCTAATCTAAAATCATTAGTCTCTCAGGACATGGTATTCAAGAAAATGTAGATAAAAAATACCTTTGAAGGTACTTCTCTGCTGTATGAGAGACTGATACGCTGCAGACAGATTGTAGTATAAGGTCCTAAAGAATATTTTATTGAGCAACATTAAGTAGTAAAAGATTAATTATATTGAGCATTTATCTAATGTAAAACCATTAGTCTTTCAGGACATGGTATTCAAGAAAATGTAGACAAAATACCTTTGAAGCAAATCAATGAACTTATGTTTGGCCAAAATGATTGTACATTAACCCAGACATTCCTGAAATTATTGAAAAAGGCATTATTTGGAAGTTCTCTTGCCTGCAAAGGCTTAACATTCAGAGGTTTAGGGAAAATGAAAATTTGACAATTCTAAAAACATTTATTGTGTATCTTTCCTTCTTGTTCTTCAAAAAAACCTTTCTCTGCATTGCATTAGAGATTGTAAAGAACAGTTTGAATTCAGAGTGAAAGGAATGATTCCTTCTGTTCCTTCTTTGTTTCAGTAATTGTACATAGCTTTATGAAATGGTGAAGTTGCATCTCACATGAAGCTATTTTGCTTATTTTTACAGACTGCTTTTTAATTTGTATATAAATGAGTTCCTGAACAGTTTGGCAGTGTTATTGATTATTGTTGACATTTATGGCCATGAAAAGGAGTGCAATTACTGTAAGCAGGGGGTGAGAGAAGATGTAGTTTACTTTCCTTGTGCTGCTGGAAAAACAGGGTCCCAATTAACCATTTCTCTTGTTTATTTGCAGGGAAGGTCTGATTAGCAGGGAAGAAATAACAGCTTACTTTATGAGGGCCAGCTCCATCTATTCTAAATTAGGTCTTGGCTTTGCTCACAACTTCCAAGAAACCACTTACTTAAAGCCTACGTTTTGTGACAACTGTGCTGGATTTGTAAGCTTATCTTTTAAGTAAACTGTGTTAATGTTCATAAGCACAATGCTGTTTTGTTAAACTCGTACTTAAACATTTATTATAAAATCCAGAAAACTTACAATAATTTCCACAGGCTTCAAGCTATTAACCATGTTTGAAATTTGTTTCAGCCTCTTTCTCTTTGCAATATTTTTACTACTATTTTAATATGCCCTCTACTCTGTTGTGCTCTTTTGGACGGCAAAGTGGCAGGGTTTCCAGCTGTGTCACTGTCAGGCAAGAAATTCCAGCTTGGAGACTCTCAGTCCTTGATGCTGTTGGAGTTAGTCCTGTCTTGAGTACAGATATAATGCACTTCATGTCTAGCAAGATTGGGAAAACTGTGCACCACTATTGCCCAATAACTGATCTTTGAGATTAATGCCATCTAATCATGGGATGATTATGCTCTGCTTCAGCAGCATGGGAGCTGACCTAGAACACCTGAACTACTCCAGAATCTCTATGGAAGATTATCTAAATTGCAGTGAATTCAAACGATGTGCAAGCATGTACCATTGCAGATGAGGGACACTAGATTTAAACTAAAGTATTTTATTTATGAACTCTGAGCACCAACAGGTAAAAGTTCAGCCTTCTCCCTGATTAATGCTTCTGCTGGGGAGGTGAATGGCGCACATTTCTGGTCAGTACCCTTTCTGTTAGACATGGGCAGAAGGCCAAGATTTGCTGGCACAAAATAAAACAATTGGGTGGGGCTTTTGTCATTTTGTTATGCTTTATGCAGGAAATCCTACATACCCACATTACCTGAAATATCTTAATACAATTACCATTATTTTGTTTGTTTGAATTCCAGCTCTGGGGAGTCATTAAACGAGGATATAGGTGCAAAGGTAATTACTACTTTTATGCTCCACCCATTTAATGCCGCTTAAAGGTGAACAAAACAAGAAAAGAACCCCAGACTTTGATTGTCTGCTGATATTCCTTCACTGATGCCCCTACCTTGGTCTGTCCTTGCTAGTGGGCAGATCCCAAAGACATCTGTGACATGGGAAGCCCTAGCATGAGAGCTGAAAGAGGGATAGATGGCCCAGAGTCTATGTGAAATCACAGAACCCCAGAAGCCCCCCTCCCTCCCCCTCAGCCTTTTGTAAACCACACAAGATTCACAGAGTGTAGGGGTGGACCCTTTTGTCCCACAGGAAACCAAACCCAAATCCTGACAAAACTGCATGGGGTGGAGGGGCGATACTTGACAATGGATTTCTCACAAAATTTTCCTCCCCCAAGTGCCTGCCCTCCTACAGGCTTTTGAATGAGAGAAGACAATTTGATGCTTTTTTTATTAAATCCTAGTTAATAGCACTGTATTGTGTTCCAGTGGAATATCTTCAATATGAAAGTGGTTTGAATATTATAAGGCACAGGGATGCAGCAGGGTCTACATGTAACCTGTGGTTTTATATGGTGTCTGTATGCGGAGTGTAAGAGGAGGTCTACTGCTTCCTGAAGAGATATAAGACCTGCTTTCAGATACAGCAGCAAAACCACTAACACATGTGAGACTTGTTTTGTTTACAGACTGTGGAATGAATTGTCATAAGCAATGCAGAGACCTGGTTGTATTTGAGTGCAAGAAAAGATCCACAAGTATGTCTTCAGATAACAGCCCAACTTCTTCGTTTGCTTCTAGCCTCTGCCCCATAGGGGTCAAAGAACAGTTCCATGGTAAGTTCAGATAACTAAGTTCAAAGTGACTACTACATATGGGACTCATCATGTTCCACCTTAAAAAGACTTTTTAATTAAATATCTTTTTTTTTGGTGGATGAATTCTGGATAACCATTTTGAAAACCATCTGTAAGCAAACCTTGCTTTGGGTACCTCTCAGCCTGCCCAGAATATTGCTAAATTCTACTCAACCCAGAATTGCTGCTCCTAGTTCGGTCCGGGTCATTCCCTGAACAGAGGCCTCCTGTGTTGCTGAACTGTATAGTGAACAAATTGTTGAACAGAGACATTGTCAAATTCTTGTGAGTTTTAACTCAAATAAAATCTGAATCTGGATGCCTAAAAATGAAAGACTGATGGGTTGATTCATTGTGCCATCTTGTGTCTTAAGTGTGCTCTAGTGTTTATCCCGTGGCAGGAAGTGATTGCTACGTTGAACAAGTGGTTCATAGTCAGAACTTTGAACTAAAATTTCGTTTCTGTGTTTCTAATTTTAACTCATATCTTTATCTGTGCATCAAGAAAGTGGAACTGTAATTGCATTAGGCTTCTTCACTTCCCCAGTTGAACTCATAACACCTTAAGCTAGACTAACCCTTTAATATTAGTTCTTAGCTCTACAGATCTTTTAGTGCTTTTACTGACTTCTCATGCCCACATTTTTCTACCTATCTTGACCAAAGAAACATGATTTAATCTCAGATTTCACCATTGAAATATCCAAAGGCAGACATCCTTCTCTTGAAGCGTTCCCAGGGCTCTTCCTTTTCTGACTCATAACTTCTGATGTGCCTTCCTTTTTGCACATCGTCTATCTGCAAACTACCTGTCACTGCATTCACCTGCATCAGTGCCTTGGTTGTATTAGTTCTCACCTGTGCCTCCCTTGCCTTCTGTATGGTCACCTTCTGGTCCACCTTTCCAGATGCCAGCTCATGCAGATACTCATCTCCACTTAGTCCCACAATCAAAGGACCAGAGTTACAGCCTCAAATAATTCCACCAGCTTTCCATTCATTTAAAAGAAAAGCTGTAAATTGTTGTTCCTACTTTCTAGTGTTACATTTGCCACAGTCAAATAGTGTATCAGACGCATCTCTTTTCTGTCCTCTTTCCACATACATGTAGATCTAGTTGCAACCTCATTTTGTCAGTATTCATAATCTCTGAGCTGTTGAAGAAAATTTCTTTGCAACTTGTGTAACTTGCGTCACTCCGAACTCCACAACCCCGTATCTCTCTTTTTGCTTTCATTTATTATTTTAACTTTGTAACTGATATCAACATCTCTAAAGAATTATAGAATTAGCTTTCTAGCTTATAGTACTTTTTGGTAATTATAGAATTATTAACTTATACTTAAGGAAGGGCACTTGATACCCAAAAGACTTTCCAACAGCTTTCCCAACTATGCCGTTGGTGCAGCAAAACATATCTGTCATGCCTCCACCTATCCAGTGGTCAATCTCTAAAGTAACTGAAGCAGGCTCTTCACCTTCAACTCATCTGCCACGACTTGATGTTAATAGAATTCTAAGGAGGGGTTAAGTGATGTGTATCCAGATGTCCCCGTTGGGGGTACTCATGATTTTGATTCAGTCTGTGTTGGGGTTTTGCTTCCCCTATACGCTATCTACACACCACCCATCGATGCTGAGGCGTTATGATCGCTTGTGGCAACTTCAGCCTTATCCAGTCTTGGTATTTGTCCACTGATGTCCCACGTCTGCTTCCCCTGTGGATTGCTGCCTGGGCCAGACGGCATCTCCCTGGCCCTCTTATGGCTGGCTGCCTGTTCCCTGCCCTCTATGCATGGCTTACCATGGGGAGCCTAGATAGGGGCCCTTTGGTGCCCTGGCCCCTACGGCCTCTCAAAAAAATCAAAAGCAATGCAATCATAAAAAAAACCCTCCACTCCGGAGGAGTTGTAAATTCAGGCCTTGGTGCCCCTGTTGTGTTTATGTGGTTTTCTTCACTCCCTATGGGTGCTGATCCCTGGGCTCAGCTGGACTCATAGTCCCAGCTCCAGCCCAGTGGGGCCTTTCTGCCCAGGGCTAATAGAGCTCTCATCGCCCTATCCCCACTCTGCCTCGGTGCCCCAAGACCTTCTCTGTCCTGACCTCTGCTGGCTTGGTGGCAGTTTCCCTTCTCTTTCTGTCACCATCACTGGTGCCTTTTAAATCTTCCATGGTGGTGCTGGCAGCTATTGTCATCAGTCTGGTGCTGCCTAGTTTGATTGACATGGAGCTTATAAACTGTGGTGGTGGCACCATGTGTGGTCTTGGCCCTGGCTCTCCCGGCAAGTTCCCCTTTTCTCCCAGGGTTCCCTGCCCTACCCGTTCTGGGTTGGCCAGTGTTCCCAGGGTACTTAGGGACTGTGTGCAATCCCTATTGCCACAGTATCATAAAGAATCCTTGCCTTTCAAAATTAAGGTATGTAATCATACCAATTTTGTAGACTTGTAAGATATAAAGAGAGATTATGTGACTTTTTGTGGGGGGTTTTTAAGGCCAAGGAATGAGTTGGGGACAGAGCTAAGAATAAAGCTCAGGAATCTTATTTCCAAGTTAGTCACTAGCACAGTGACCACCTACCAGTGGTCTGTGAAGAACTTGCTAGTGTTCCAGAGACCTCTCTAGTCCCACATTGCTACACTATCTTAAAAACAATTTAACTAAATAACACCTCCCTTGTATTGCTTTCCTATGCAAGTACTTACTAGTATGTACAGCTTTTTCAAGTGAATGGGGGGGAAGCTGCCCATACCCTGGAAAAAGTTTGAAAACCTATGCTACTAGAGCAAGTTCGGACAGATATGACTATAATAACTGCTTAAGATTAAATATGGCATTTTTCTTGTTCAAAAAAGGGACAATGAATTATTATGGCCCACATACCTTGTCCCCAGTTTGTTAACTCTGTTTGCTCTTTGTGTCCTGTAGGGCAGGAGGAAGGACCATTTTCATTTCCTAATGGAGAAGTGCATGAACACAATGAAGACAGTAAGGATCGAACAATTATGCTGATGGGTGCCTCAGCACAAAAAATCTCATTAAGACTGAAACCAGCAGTAGTTCATAAAGGCACACAAACTGAGGCAGCATTAACGACAAGTGACGTACCCTTCTGGCTGATGGAGAAGAAGGAGCATAGGACACCATCAGAAAATATTTATCTACAGCCTGCCCCACCATCACCATCACCATGGCCAAGCCCAATTTTAAGCCGCAAAAAAGGTTATGTGAAATGGGATAACAAAGAATCCAGCCAGAAAATAAAAGAAGAGTGGCGCATTTGCAAACCCTCATACCAGGAACTTGAACAGGTACCTATTCAATGGACCTAATTTTCCTTTGCACAGCAATGGCACAGTAAGAGGCTTTAAGTGGTTATGGCAGTATAATACACTATCACATCATGATTCCTTGATGCTGCTAAGGTAATCAACTACTGGAACAATCAGTGAAGAAAATAACGTTTTCTTTACCACGTGAAAAATTAAATACTAAATAAAGATTTCAATCTAGAATTTCTAGTTGGGGATGGTCCTGCTTTGAGCAGGCAGTTGGACCAGATGACCTCCTGAGGCTCCTTCCAACTTCAATTTTATATAAGTCTGTGATCATGTTTATGTGAAGTTCCTATGCAGGTGTCAGATGAAATTATCACAACAATCTCTTCCAGCCTTCATATCCATGGATATACCCCTTGCCTAATAAGGTTATCAAGACATAGGTTCTATTCAGTAAACCTGATTATCCAGTTTAAGGCATATAGTCTGATACAGCCAGTACATTAGTTTGGAAATTCTAATTTGAGAGAGAGAGTGTGTGTATGTGTGTGTTTCCACAATAGAAAAATAGCCATTACGCTGTAATAAATATGCTGCTGCTAGATAAACAGTGTCTTGTCAAAAAGTCTTTCTAGCTAAAGACAACCCTGACATAGTCTTCCTAGGAAGCTTTTAACATAGCGTTCAGGTTACAAAAGCTCAAAATATGCTGAAGTCAGAATGTCCACCAATAACCTAAGTCAACTGAGTGGAGTTTAGAGTTCTGTTTCCACTTTCTTTTTGGAAGAACAGAAAAAGGCATTACAGTTTGTAGCTGAAAACATACTGTAATATAGATTGGAAGTGCAATGCAGCCATGCTCATTTTGATATTGAATTAATTATTAGTAATCTTTCTGGTAGCCATATATTCTGTCAGGAGGAAAAGTGAGACTCAAGTCCTCATGGCAGAACCTGTCTTCCATAAAGTCAACATATAAGCCCCAGGCCTCATGAAAGATTTATTTTCACGGTTGTTATAAATCTTTATTTAAATCAGTAAATTTACTCCCTCATATTTTTTGTTAAATACTGTTCTATCTCTGGGCAAACTAAATGCTGTGACCTCGTTGTTTCCAGAGCCTAATTATACTTAGCTCCAAAAGACCAAAGCATTCATGTTTGAAGCATTAAGGACTGTAGTGAAGGATCTCCACCTCTCAAAATGGGATCTTCACAGTATTTCTGTTTGCTACAGTGTAACGGGTCTCTCTCTTCTGGGCATTATTGCTTAACTAGAGCTCAAGCTCCTTGAATATTTCTAGAAATGTCCTCTTGTATAAGCCCCTCAGGGGCTGGTAGGGGAATAGCACAGAGGTCTCCACATGTATTTGTTAAACTCTTACCTGGTTGCCAGAGCTGATTTTGAAATTATTTGCCAGGTAAGAATCCTCAGAACTTCCTCCTGCGTACATTCCTACTTGTGAGCCAACAACCAACAGTAGGATGGATTTGGAAAAAGACTTAATAGTTACTAACCTTATAGTAACTGCTTGCTTGAGATGTCCTGTCCACTTGCATCCCATCACTTGCACCCATTCTTGTTCCTTCAGTATTTTTCTGATTTAGTGAGGATACTGAGGGTCAGCTGCATGGCTCTATGCCCTGGATGTAGGGAGAGGGGAGTACTTGGTGAAAAGTACCGGCCAGATTTGGATGCCCTGAAAAATACATCAAGGTCCTGAGGCTTGTCCCTGACCAGATGAATGAAACCATCCTTCGTAGCAGATCAGAGACAGATCTATCTGTCATCAAAACGGGTCAAGCAAGGATGTATCATTACTGCAATTCTGTTATTCATTTTTTGAGTGTCATCCTGGTTCCTATTAAGGACCACCTCCTTTCCAGAATGGACACTGAAAAGCCTTCCATGCACTTGGTATTCAATCTGGGATGTTTTCTTTTGAAGACCAAAGTGCTCAAAACAACCAGCCGTGGCCTTCAGTATGCCGACAACTGTATCATCCCTGCAACACTCAGGAAAACCTCCAGACAATGTGGGATCTCTTTGCAGAAGACTACCAAACTTTGGGCCTCTCTCTCAACTTCTAAAAACTAAGGAGCTCTATCATCCTGGCCTACGACATTAATGGTCCCCTCCTCCACAGATTACCATGGAGGGAAAGACTTTGGAGGTAGACAAACTTACCACCTCTCTCAGAGGGTGAACATTGAAGAGATCCAGCACAGGATCTGGTGTGCAAGCAGCTCCTTTGGGTAACTGTTTTGGCATGATTGATCATGATATCTGGAAAGACACCAAGGTCTACAATGCAGTCATCATCCCCACTCTCTTCTATGGATGTGAAATGTGGGTGACCTACTGTCATCATCTCAAAAGCCTGAAGACATATCATCAATGATGCCATTGAAAAATCCTCCACTTCAAATAGCAAGATCACCATACAAATGCCAACATCTTTGCTGAAGCCAACATTACCAGCATTAAGTTGGTGATCCTCAAGCACCAGCTTTGCTGGACTGACTGGATATTGTGTGCAGATGCCTGACTCAACTCCCAAAACATGTGCTCTACTCCAAGCTTATTTGTGACCTGAGATCTTTTGGTGGCCAGAGGAAGCACTACAAGAACACAATGAAGGCATACCTTAAGAAAACAGACACTGACATAAAGAGATGGCAGGAGCTGGCTGCTAACTGACACTAATGTTGCCACAACCTCAGCCAAATGGCAGCCTGTGTCAAGGTAAAGCATCATGCTCTAAAACCTGAGAAGAGAGAGCAGAGGAAGGAAAAGGAGAGAAATGTAAGCCTACAGCCTACTCTCCCCTGTGAAAGGACCTGCAACTTCTGCAGAATGATCTGTGGTTCGAGGATTGGTAATTGAGGGATTGCCATTGATGGATGGATGGGGAAATGGAGAATACATACGTGGTGTAGACATGGTCTCAACAGACACATCATAAGAACTTAAACACTGCTACACAGGGTCAGACCAGTGGTCCATCTAGCCCAGTATCAAAGCAGGTATCAAGTTTAGGTGTGAATAGCTAAGTCGCATTAGGCAGGCAAGGTTCTTGGGATAGATGTGATATCTTTTATTAGACCAACTAAATAGTTGGAAAAAATGTTCTTTGCAAGCTTTTGGGCACAAATGCCCTTCAGGCATAGAGAGACTCTGCATAGGCTTATATAATATAATAGAGACTTAGCTATTCATGCCTAAATTTAATGTGCCTTAATGCGCATTAGCATGTCCACATGTAGATGCACACCTACATCGCCTTAATGCACCTTTAGTAAAGGTGCATTAAGTTTAGGCGTGCGTAAATATACATGTAGACATGCCAACAGAGACCAGAACTGCACACAATATTAAGTATATGGATGCACCATGGATTGTATGTTTGCGTGATGATGTTTTGTTTTCTTAAAAGCAAATAAAGTTGGACATCATTTTGGTTGCCACTGTGCATTGAGCTGATGCTTTTAGAGAACTGTCTACTATGTGATAACTAGTTCAGAACCCACCGTTGTGCATGTATAATTGAGATTATTTTTCCCCAGGTACATTACCTGCACTTGTTGACACTAAAGTTCAGCTGCCATTTTTTTACCCACTCAGCTTGGTGAGATCTTTTTTGCAGCTTCTCTCCACCAGTTTGGGATTTGACTACTTCAAACAAACTTAGAATCATCTGAACTTTCATTGTGAACTCAGACATATGGGTGCCTGCACAGAAGTGTGTGACTAAGGCTACTGAGGATGCATCTATGCATGTGCTTTACTGAAAAGTTGACTAATTAGTTCTGCAGTAAAGCATGACTGTCTACACGTATGCTGGTATTAGGGCACAGTAAACTAATTAACTCCACCATCAAATAGTACTGTTAGGGAAAGTGTGGATGGTGATGGGCTGGCAGGGACATGAGGGTGCTGAAGTGTGGGGACTGCCTGCTGCCTAGCCCCACACTTTAGCACCCTTATACCCCAGGCAGCCCATCTGCTACCTGACGCTGTCACCTGGAGCCTGGGGCTAATCCTAGGAGCTCCCTGCCAGCCTAGGGCTGTTCTGCCGGGGGTCAAAGTGCTGCAGGCACTGCACCTGGGAGTAGCTGACTCTGGCAGAAACCGTGCCAGAGTTTATTTCGTCTCTTTACCACAAGATGTAGTTGCACCCTGAGAGATGTTCAGTTAAAGGAATGATGGGATCTTATGTGCAGTCCCAACAATCATGCTTTCTGCTATGCCACATATGTATGGCAGGAGGCATTATTTTGGTATTGGGGATCAGAGCGCAATCACACCCTACTTGCCAGTGCAGGGGAGCCCAGGAACATGATCCCAGGCTCCCCCTTCACTGGCAAAGGTGCCCAAGAATCAGTTGATTGTTGGCTGGCTCCAGGGACCCACAGTGCTAGTTTGAGCCCCTGAAGTCAGCCAATGATCAGTTCATCGTCAGTTGTATCAGGACTGCACTAAAGCTCAAACCAGCCATGGTACACATTCTGCTGAATCGCCAGTGGGGACTGCATCAAAACCCAATTGAGCCCTGATGCAGTCCTAACCATGCCCTGTTCATTTTAAGGCATGATGGAAACAAACCACATAATTATGACACATTTTTTGCGCCACTAAGTACCTGAACATGTGGCCAGGTTACACTTTAATGTGATTAACTGGTTAATTGCATCTCAAATGTAACATCTGCCAGAGACCTAAATGGTAAAGAACCATTTTTATCTGGCCCATTAACAAGCTAAGGACCTGATCCACCCTGCATTGAAGTCAAAAGAAAAAGTTAGTCTTCACTAGGAGTTGAGTGAGACCAGATTTTAGGTGGAAGAAGGCAATGTTATTAACCTCATTTCACAGATAGAGGACTGAGGCAGAGAAATGGAGCAGCTGATTCAGGAAATTTGTGGCACAGGTAGAAATTAAATCCAGATCTAAATTGCTGTCCAGTGCTTCAACCACAAGCTTCCCCTTGTAACATCAAAGTCAACCAACTCAAGTGAAAATTGTGACGATTAAAACCTTAGGTCTGATCAATGCTAAAAGTCTCAGGCAAGCAAGGTTAAAAGACAGTTTGCAATCAGTCAGCTGCTGAGTATTAGTGCATGGGAAAGAGAAGCAATTAGACAAGGGTTCAAATAGTCCAGGGTCTCCAGTGAGCAGTGACACGAAGAGAAAAGCTCTAACTACCTCTTGATAGGCTCCAATCCTTATTTTGGATTGTTGGTTGTCGGTTGTGTTGGTTTAAGGACATAGGCGGACGAGGTTCTTTAGGTAAATGTGATATCTGTTATTATTAGACCAAGTAAATACTTGGCAAAATTATTCTTTACAAGCTTTCAGGCACAAACACCCTTCTTCAGGCACCAGTTTGCTGGTGTTCTGTGTGCTCTCCTGGGTGGAAAGTCTAATAAAAGATATCACATTTACCCATAGAACCTTGTCTGCCTAAATCATTATTTGGGAAACACTTCCTCTTCCTCCAGATGTTCTCCCAGCATTTTTTGTATAATGGTTGCATGGAAAATGTATATACTAGAGTAAATGTAAACTGCACGTTATGCTGAACAATACTGATTTTGAGCTTAAAATGGTTCATTTGCAAGGTAGTCATATACATTTTTGAAAAATACAAAAAGAAAGCTGTGTCTGCTCATGTTGATCTTTGTGTCTGCAATGTATCATTTATTGGTCAGTGCATAATAACCCTTTGGAGAGAGTTAAATATACTCTCACTGAAAATATGAAATGTCACTCAAGTGCACCTGCAGACAGGGTTGAAATTGATTTGAAATGCAGTGCTGCTGTGATGACACTGACCTTTCTCTGTTCTTGTTTAGGAAAGAAACATTCTAAAGGCGGAAAATGATGCTTTAAAGAATCAGCTTCAACAGGCACATAAGACAATTGAATCTCTCAGCATCCAACAAAAAAATCACGCGCTAGACAACACAAAGCACAGAGACTGCTCTTAGCTAAAAAGACAGGAGTTCTGCTATGGAATAATGTTAAAACTGAGACTTTGGGAGGTGTGACAAGGCTGCTATATTCAACTGAACAGGAAATAAAGACTGAATGGTTTTAACGAGAGTTAAACTCTCTTAAATCAACGTATTTTGCCTGTTAAATATACTCCTGAATGTATAAATGTGTTCCTTTTTCTCACACCATTTTAAAAGAATTTGGTGTTTTCTGAGCATTGCAAAAAGCACATTCTGGGATCTCTCTTGAGAAGGGCAGTACACAATTTGAAGTTCACATTTATTCTGAAGACAACGAAGGCAAATTTCATTCCCAGTATAGATCACAGAATGATTTGACTGCAAATAGCTATCATTTTTTTGGTCAAGTTTACAGTCCATATCTGCAAGTGTTGTGTCAAGGTATCCCATCAAGACAACCTCACCCACTCAAAGTTGGTGCAAGTTCAGGTGTGTAAAAAAGCAACTTTTGATAAAGTTAAGGATTTGGATGCTGCCAGATCTTTTCAAGGGTGCCATTAGGTATAAGGATGTAAGTAAGGTGTTAGGAGATAAACTAAATAGCTAAGCACAGGCTCAGGCTTGTTCCTGCGTGGACAACTCTCACATCCCTACTGCAAGTCCCCCTCTGCAAGTAAATAAGTACTGTAATCCATAAATCAGTTTTTGAACTTCACAAAAGCTGTGGAGGGGGTCCTCAAGTCCAGTGAGGGGTACCTCAAGTCCAAAAAGGTTGAGAACCACTGCTCTAAGACATTAGGAATAAACTGACATTGTTTAAAATATTCCATTGCAGAACAGTTTTAAGAAGTCTTACTGCTCAAGTGTGGGCCTGTACAAGACTGAAAATAATAGTGCCTCATAGTAGACTAAAAGATTTAACATTTGAGCATTGCTTCCTCTTATGCATTCCATGCTTCTTGGGTCAGGTAGCACTGCTGGCTTGCTAGTTAAACAGATTTTATCCACAGGATGGTGAGTATAATGTTGGACATTTTTCCAGCATTTAAATCTTTGGTGCATGAAAGTACAATATATTCCTATATTATTTCATTATTTAAGCATAAAATATTAATAATCGCATTGAGGAAGGAACAAAATACTTTCTTCCTATGAGCAGTTCACTGTCATGGTATCCAACTGAACTTTTGCTATAGCTTCAATTATTTATGATTTCTGGTGCAGTTGGCAGCTAAGGACAACCATTAGGTCTTTATTGTTTGCACAGTGCTTTGAAGTAACATGCAATTACTTCTGCATGTTTGTTGAAAGTTTGTTGGCCTAAACAAACTGCGTATGTAATGGAGCAATTTTGAGAAGCCAGGCTGTAGCAGGATGTTGTGTGAACATTTTTGGGAATTTCAGGTGATGCTGTTATGAGTACCTTTGCTTGCTAGAGATTCTAAGGTCACAGGATCATGGAGACCCATTGCACCCACAGAGAACCTCCCTTCCTTTATCCTTATGTGCAGCTTTTTGGGAACAAGATCTGGGGATCTTTCATTTCTCCATATTTCCCTGAGCAGTTCAAGGAACTCAGGACCATTCCCCCCCTAGTATTTAAGAAGCTTGTCTGAGAAAGACATGGCAAGTGGGATAGAGGCATATACTTCATGCTGTTATGCTACTGGACTTCTTCCCTTTTTGTCTCTCTTGGAAATTGCAGAGGCTTGGTGTTTCCTGCATCCCTTAGAGTTGTCCCTTTGCCCCTATTCCCTTTTGAATGGAATGATCATAGATTCACAGATTGTAAGACTGGAAGGAACCTCAGAAGATCATTGGGTCCAGCCCCTTGTACCAAGCAGACCCCAGCAAGGTGACTGTTTAGTCTCCTCTTGAAGATTTCCAGGGTAGGTGATTGCATCACCTCTGTAGGGAGCTTATTCCAGTCTGGACACCCTAACTGTGAAGAAGTTTTTACTAACATTGAGCCTGACTCAGTCTTCCAGGAGCTTGTGGCCATCACTCCTGGTTTTCGCCTTGGGTGCCCTGGCAAACAGTTGCTCACCAAGCCCTTGATGTATTCCCCTAGTGCAGCAGAAAGTACTACTAGGTCCCTTCTTAGCCTTCTTTTCCCAAGGCTGCAGAGTCACAGATCCCTCATCCTTTCCTCATGTGGCTTGCCATGTAAGACTGACCATATGGGTGGCCCTTCTTTGGACTCAAGCTTGTCCACATCTTGGTTAAAGTGTGGTCCCCAGGACTGGATGCAGTACTTCAGCTGCGCTCTCTCCAGTGCTGGGTAGAACGGAAGAATCACCTCCTTCATTTTGCTGGAGATATCGGGGTATTATTTACCCTACTGGCTACAGCATCATACTGCTGGCTCATATTCATACTGTGGTCTATTATTACCCCCAGGTCCCTTTCATTCAAGGTGCTACTCAGTTTGGTGCCACCAAGCCTGTAGGTGTGTTGAGGGTTGCTCCTCCTGAGGTGGAGCACTTTACATTACTCAACGTTGAACTTCATCAGATTCCGATCCGTCCAACTTGCTAGCCTGTCCAGGTCTGCCTGTATCTTCAAGTGTGACCACAGTTCCCCATAACTTGGTGTCAGCCGTGAACTTGGCTAGCGAGCTCTTCACCCCCACAACCAAATCATTAATAAAGATGTTGAAAAGTACTGGCGCAAGCTCCAACCCCTCCTTGCCAGGATGACACAGATCTGTTCACTAGGACTCTCTGGTTCCTATCCTGCAACCAGTTTTTCACCCACCTGACTGTCTCAGTGTGTGTTAGTCACTGTATGTGTGTTAGTCACTTGTTTCAACATGTATCTTGGCTCTGAGGAATTAATATCTTCAGTGCCTACCAAAATCAGTGCCTACTAAAACTCATTGCATTTACACCATTTTCTCACATTCACTGCAGTTGTGCACTTTTCCAACAGTGCTACAGCTGCCTGCAGTTAACATCTCCATCTAGCTCTCAGGGCCTTGCTACAACTAGCCTTTTGTACAAACTTGTGTTCTTCTCAGATGCTGGTTGGGACCATCTGTCTCAGATTCTTACTGGGATCATGTTGCCTCTCCAAACCAGGACTGTTGGCTTTTCATGCCATTATGGGTCAGATTTTCAAAGCAGTCTGTTAATGTGTATGTCTAGACATTCTTCTGGGGACTCATCAAGTTCCAGCAGGAATCGGTGTCAAATCCTTTTACTTGATTGGAAACGAGATCAAGTTCTAGCAACGTGAAGTTCTGAAACTGTATTTCTAAGTACTTTTGCACAGGTGTGAAGATGCCTATTTTTGTTCAACTGTTTTTGACTATAGTCCCTGGGTGCCTGTCAGACTGCAACATCTTATGGAAGAGAGCTCCCTACTTTGTGCCCTTTTAAATGAGAAGCTTGAATCACTGAACTACATACCTTCTTTCGCTATCTTTTAGAGGTAGTGCAGCAACCACTGCATCTGTGGGAGGATCTACTTGAGATTTCCTAACATAAAAGCGTAACTGTCATTTATATGCAGGTGCATTTATACTACTCTCAGGGCCTCAGTCTAAAGCAATTTTGGACTAGGTAAAGGTCTGAAGTTTCAGATGGCCTAATTGAGCCAAGGTTTTGATTAAGATCAGATGAGACCAAAAATAGTTTGCAGCCTGACAATGCAAAATTCAATTGGATAGACTCCTCTTAGGCTGAGGCACAGCATAAAAAAATGCATCATGCTGGACATCCAGGCTTCCTCACAGTCCCAAAATCTCACACCCATCCTTTGGCTCCCAGTCCTGTAATCTCTGATATTACGTGTGGGTTTTAATGAGACGATATCAGCATTCCAACAATATGATCATTGGAAAGTCACTTAGGAATCTGAGTGACAAATCAGGACTTCATTGCACTGGACACTGACAAACAATGCACTGATTTGCTTGGATGAGGCAATACCAGGCAAAAGAACTCCTCACTAGATCGATGCCTGCTAGCCGCTGGATTGGAAGCAGTTGCACTCTGCATGCAGGGCTCATCAACCTGCACATAGCACCACACTAACAGCTGTAAGGCTTCCAGTATATCTGCACAGAGCTGCCTGCAAAATGGCTATAATCCTTACAGTTTCTTCTCTTCTCCCCTTTTAGCTCAGTATTTAATTTCCCTTCGCAGCTGCTAGCAGTTTAAATGTCATTTTACCACACCTGAAGTTACAGCTATATAAAGTGTCAAGAGGAAATTCCTACTTTGCATGTAAATAGTCCATAGCTGCAGGTGCTAGGCTGAATTAAACCCAGTCTGTTCTTAAGGCAACAAAGTGTACACATTATTAAGAGGCAACTAAAACAGTGTTGCAAATTGGCACATTAAACTCCAACCATCAGGGGCCAGTTTCAGGATTGTGTTTGTATGCCAAGATTGTAAGAGACTCTTCAGTTTCATACAGTTTGGCTTCACTGATCAGGGATGTTATCATCAAATGTAATTCAACTGAACATCAGCAACTTGTGTTAAAGACGTGTGTGCTACATTTGCTTAAAGCTCTTTTATAAATTATTTTACAAGAGTACATAGCTGTGGGAGATTGAGTCTTAGCTAATGAATGCAATTGTATGTATACTTTGTGTTCCAGCATATAGTAGAAATGTATGTTTATCCCAAGGCAATTTAACTGTTAAGTGTATGCGCCCTTAAGAAAAAGTTTTTAAAAGTTCACTTGAAACTACTTACAAACTGTAAGCTTGAATCCTTCTTTCTGAATTTGGATTTTAGGTTGCCATCTCTATTGTTATATTAACCAAGTAGAGAGATAAAGCCTATTAATAACAGCAGTGATATTTTACTAACTGTAAATAATGTGTACAGCATGTAAATTGTTATGCATGAGGGTTTTCTTCCAAAAATCAGTAACTGTGAATTGTGTGCAGTTTTGTTACTAAAACCCAAACTACCCATGATGTGGATCATCATAAATTGCACCTGTGTTCAACGAGTAATTAAAACTGATGTTTGATCACACTTGCAAATTTGCTTTGACTTCTCTCTGATAGGGTTTTTTTCTTCCTTTAGGAATCTGGCTCCTCTCTTTAAAGAAACCCATGCATTGATTCAGGGCTAAAATTTGGATTCCAATAAACATTTGTTTTTATAAAAACTAGTATGTACAAAAATATATATTTTAAATTAAGATTTTGAGCCCAACTAGTTTTAACTTACAACTCAAAATTAGAAAGTTATAGTAACTTCTTATAACCCTAGTAGCTACAAACCCATTTTTCCTCAGTTCTTGTAGTCTATTTGAATGACTGGCAGGGACTCATTTGCAGGAGACCTTCATAGGGAAGGCTATAACCCTTTCACATTTGCTGAAATAAGCCACTGCAAAGTCACCTGAAATCTGGAGAAGTTCATAGCATTAAAAGTACTTTCAGGCACTACATCTGCTCCTTTAGGCCCCTACTAATTCTTGCAGCATTAGTCACATTTTCCTATGTTTGAGGCTCCCCTCAGCTGCGTGAACAAAATTGTGCGAACAGTGGAAACTGACTGCACAGGGAAAGCATTGCAACTGACTACAAGAATGCTGTGGAAAGCACAAAGCGAATAAACTGAAAAAAACGACTTTCTTTGTTTTTCACTTTCAGCTACCTTACAGTGAGTCTAGACAAGGGGAAACAGGTGGGGTTTTAAAAACATGTAGCTGACATTTTAAATTAAAATGAGCTACTAACATGTTTTAAACAGCAGTTAAGTCCTTTAAAATGTGTTAGTTGTCATGGCTATCAACTGAAATGTATCCACTGCTTTTCCTAGTCTAAGATAAGGCCATAGTTGTTGCATGCCCCAAAAAATAAACTTTCAAAGTGTGATTTAATTTTTTTTAGTGGATGTTGTTCTTTTAAAGACAATACTGTTTGTGTGTAGATTCAAATTCTAATCTTTTGAAGTTACTTGTTGACTGGTTAATACTTGTAGAGGAATAAAAGTAGACTAATGCATATATAATGGTTTTCCTAACATGGAACATTCAGAAGCTGTTGCCTATAATTTGTATGTAACTTTTGAACACAAAGAAAATTCTACAAATTACACCTAAAGATGTTAAAAGACAACTGACTGAAAAAAAATGTACAGACTGTAAAGTTTATATCAACAAGTGCAAGTTTTCTGTTTAAATATTTATATTATAAAGTAATTACAAACTACAGATTTAATATCTCATGATTAAAACTCTCTCTGACTTGTCCAATGCTAACATGTTTTCAAGCAGTTACATCCTTAAAATGTGTTAGGTTGTTCACAATCAACTCTGAAATAAATATTACCAAATGGAAAATGATGCACTTTTAGGCATCTCTCATTACTGTTATTTTCTTTCAGCCTAGGATCTGTCATTCTTAAAGGACTAAACTATCTGAACATTTTTACATCTTTATCGATTAAAAGCCTCACTTCTAAATATCAACTCTACTGTAACACGACTTAAAAATTTGTTTTCAAAAGCTATCACTTCTTGCAACTTTGTACACGGCTTTGAAGTACTAAAGTTTGTCTTACTTTTTTCCCCCAAAATAAGATAAAATTCTATTGTACAAGTTACAAAAAAGCCCCTATAGCATTGAAAAGAGGCATTCAGAAAATATGCAGCCTGACATTTAATGATGTGATAGGACCCACCAGATTTCATATACTAACTAATATTCTGACATTTGCTAGTAGCTATTTTGTTTGGTACTTTATGAAGATGCATCATTGTGTCAGGCACAGAACATTTGAAAAAAGAACAATAAAATCAAAGTTGCGATCATGTATTTTCCTAAGAAAAGACTCAAGCCCAAGAGAAATTCAGAAGTCCATGAC